TTCAAATTGCTTTCAGCAATTTTGACGTTTTCTGCTCTCTATTGCAAGATGACGAAGCAGGTTTACAGCACGTTCTGAGCATTTTTAAAAATTATAATTAAAACACGATATTTCAGCCGGAAGGTCACTATCTCTTTAACTTTACCCAGCTGCAAATCATCCGATTTACAATGTCTAGACCTGTGTAATGCAAATCAATTGTTGAACATTTTTGCGGGGCATTTTTGATCAAAAGCAAAACGATCCATTTTAGTCATACTTCATGTTTAAAACAGCACAAAACAAAAACAAGAAGTTTTCACTTGCGCACGCTATCTATATTTCATTATGAAAAAAAAAAAATTTTAATGTCAAAGAAGCGTTTTTCAGTTTGTTTTTCTTTTTTTGAAAAATGAAAAATTCTCAAGCACAAACGTATTCCGACAAAAATGAGATTAAATCAAGAAATGATGTCATCTGGTAATTAGGCCCTAGAAAGGATGCAGAAGAAGGCAGTGTGGCCGAGTGGTTAGGGCGCAGCACTTGAAATCCAGAGGTCCCGGGTTCAAGTTCCACTCTGGCCACTAAGCTGGAGTTGTTTCTCGGTAGACCCCAGTTCAACTGCCCGGTCATGCTTGTAAATAGCCAACTGGTCTGTCTCCCGGCAGTTGGGATTTTTAAGCCTGTTATATTTAGTTGATGTATTTGTTTCTTTCAGTTTAAGTGGCATGCCTGTGAACTAGCTAGGTTCACACTGACCACTATAAACAACAACATTTGAACAACATTTTTGAACATTTTGATGCCATACACTCGCCTGCGGTTCGAGACTTTTGCTTGAGCTTTGATCATTGACTCATTTCTACGGCCTATTTAACAATTAGACTACGAGCCCGAGTTTTCTATGACTTAACAGTGATCGAGGCGAAGCCGAGTTGACTATCGCTGATAGAAAGCGATCGCTAGTAGCCGAATTGATTTAGTAGACACTCAAAAGGATTACAGCACAAACCTACAATTATGCGCATCTTTAAGCCAAACAAAAAATAATTTTCAGTTTCAAGAGCAGCCGGGTGTGCACGATCGTTGTCTGTAACCAAACAGAAAACGACAAGAGAACCAATCAGATTCGCGGATTTCGAAAAGAACACAGCTGAGTGGCTACTAAAAAAAAATGTGCACAACGGCAAAATATGGTTGATTTGTCAACAAGATAATGTATTCGGTCAAAAAACGCTTTTTAGTTTAAATCT